GGGCTCCCCGGGGGGGGCCTGCCCCCCCCCCCCCGGACAGGAGGGGCTGCTGCCATCAAGCAGCCCTTGTTCACAACGGGGACTGCTCAATCCAGGCTCCAGCCAACTCTGGGAGTTATCCCCGCTGTGGCTCTCCAGAGTTGCCCCTTATTGACTAATTGTGTAGTTAGTACAAATTGTATCGACTACACAATTAGCCAGATAACCACAATTTAAGGGCTATAGTTGAATGCCCTTATGTGGTGTCTAATACACAGAATTGTAGGTACAGAAATCCTTTTCATTGCTGATGACATACATTTCTGAGGTTGAAGACACTGTCTGTAGCATGTGTGTCCTGTGCTTAAATTCCTTCATGAAATGTAAACAGTTAAACACTATTACAAATTTGTATGAACGTTGTAGGTATAGAAATCCTTTTCATTGCTGATGACACACATTTCTGAGGTCGAAGACACTGTCTGTAGCATGTGTGTCCTGTGCTTAAATTCCTTCATGAAATGTAAACAGTTAAACACTATTACAAATTTGTATGAACATTCTGACCCATTTCCCTTTTCCTTCAAATTAGGTGCATGTTATCAATTCAGAAACCCAAAATTATAAAATAAAACTATTTCAGGACTAAAGCACAAATCTAAAAATTTCTCATGGCCAATTCTCAGAATTTGGAAATAATTAAGATATTAAAAAAGCTGTAAGATTTTTTTCATGGAAATCACAAGACATTCCCTAACAAATCTTATATTCCATCTAATCAGCAATTCAGAGTATGTGAAAAATTAACCACCAGAGAAGAGCTGTAGGGTGGAAAAAAAAAAGAGAGATCTGGATTCTAACAGTAAAAACCCTTCCAAATGTTCTAATATAATAGAACTTCAGTGTCTCATAAAATATTTCTTAATAAAAAAAAGGAGAGAGAATGAAAAAGAAAACCTCATTGTGCAAGTTTTCAAATATACTCCTTAGCTGCCAAAAATGAACTGGGCCAGAAGAGGAAGGTGAACTGGGAAATCCTAGTATGTATGCTATGTTATGTTATCCTAGTATGTATTCTATTTGGAGTTGAATATTAAATAGATATATACCATAAATGCAGGAGTATGTCAGTATGTGAGAAATTTTAACTGGAATTGGGAATTAGAGTGGAAAACTATAGTTCCAAAGGTTAAAACTGACAGACAGAGGGATAATGATAAAAGCTTAACTCTTATTTCATAGCACACTGAAAGCTCCAGCTTGTACTGTCTTTATTAAGTCTTTTAATTGGCAGCTTTTAGTAACATTTATTAGATGTTGAATTCACTTTAACTGTTGTCACTTCCTTTTCTCATCTCTATCCTTGTGTTCTAATACTTTATGTATTTTATTAAAAATAAAGAGAAGGTGAAGGATGGGGGGAATTGATGAGGCCAGCTGTGAAAGGGAGACAGTCTCCTGGGCAAGGGACGGGGACACTTGCCAAAGGACAATATGTAGTTCTTCCCCTCCCCCTAGGAATCTCTTGCACCCACTGGCCACCTGAGGGACAAAAGTACTGGTTTGCCAACATTTCCCAGTTCCCAGGATTTAGCTCAGTGCAGGAACTTACCTGGAGCTTCTTTTGGCTCCATTCCATCACACACGATGAGCATTTGTCAGATGGAAGTGCTGACATAAGGCAACAGAATGAGAGGAAATTGATTGGGCAGGATACCATACCGTGTACCATACCGTGAGGGCAGAGCAACAAAGCTAGTTCCTGATGCTCCAGGTGTCCAGTTTTCATTGTGATTAAGATAATAAAATGAATAGTCCCCAGCAGTAGGAGACTTTGATTTTAGTGATGGACCTTGGCCTTAAGTGTTAGGGCGAGATCTGGAGACCCTCGCAGGCAGAGGTCAGATATCTAAGGTCCACACCCAGCTTTCACCTTCTGTCCCCTCACGGAGAAAGGATGCTAGGATTCATATAAATCAACTATAAAAATACTGTAGGGCTTTGTCTTCATGGAGCAGCAATGTGATGCTCTTTGAAACAGCACTACTTTTAGTGTGCCCCAGCAAGGCCTATACAGCATTAATTTACAGCATGTTAGTGTACTATGGGCCAATTAGCATGCAATACATTTGTGATATCTATAATGCACTCTCCCATACAGTGCATTACTCCATCATGTAGACAAACCCTTAGTCTTAATGCATTTTCCTTTATTTCCTGTTATAAACTTGTATATGGTAACCTATAATACAGATGGTGTGTTCCTCTTCAGAGTTGGAAGATACTGTTGAAATGTAAACAGTTATTTATTAATAACGTCATACGCTATTTCTAGACCAATTCCACAAGCCCTGTTATTCCTTTACCTCATTTCTTTTGGGAGTGCTTTTATTGACTCTCAGTAGTGGCTGATTAACTCACCGTTAGTGCCAGAAGTTTCCCGTATGTGAGATGTGCTGGGATGTGGTCAGTCTTGGATCGCAACGATTCCATATACCAGTGTTCTGCTTCAGGCAGCTTGCTCAGTCTCATGTAGGCTTCTCCTATGAAGTAAAGATGATGACCAGTCAGAGGACATGGGATTTTAATTAATTTTTTAATTTGAATTACAAGAACAACAAAGTTCTACATTGTGACTGTCCACCTATATATGAACAAAGACCTCTAAGATACTGCACTGCTTTGAATGCCAGCAATGTAGAAAACAACTTTATGAACACCTTATTAAGAATAAAAAAGCATAAGTGAGATGAAAGTTGAGTTAAAATTGACAGTGGGAGTATCAATCAAAATTCCTAAGGTAAGCAAATTAACATCACATCAGCTGTGCAACAGCTATTTCTTTTCAATCAGTTCACGTTACACAGCCTTGCGTATTAGTGAAAAATACAGCATGTATTTGTGGTTAACCACGACACATCAGTATCATAGATGAGGATAACAAAACCCTAAGGTAGGTTTAAGAAAAGTCTCCAAAGAATGCTAGAATAATGAGAGAGGACAAGACATGTAGCATTCAGTAAAGTCTGGTGCCCTGCAATATTTCTATAACATCACTAGTGCTTTATCCTGATTTGAAATTTGTAAGGATTATTTATGGAAGCCAATGTGTGAGAAATGATCAAAATCTGACAAACTTCTCAAAGTAAAATAATCTGGCAACAAAGGATAGTGGGAGAACGAAGGCCAGGACAGAAATGCTCTGAGGACAATCTTGAAATTTTTGGAAATGCATTTAGTATAGTGTATAAGAATTCATTTGAAGAGACAAATCAAACTAAATCTTTCAAAGTTAATCAGAAGTACGCAGGATCAAACAATTAAAAGTGAAGTATAGCAGTTTTCAGAATAACACTACTCTGCATTTACATAGCACATTTTGAACCTGCTATAAACTGGTTCAGTGAAATCTTGGTCCCACTGAAGTCCACGGCAAAAAGACTAATGACTTCAATAGGGTCAGGATTTCACCTATTTAACTAACTGATGTTATTTCCCCCCATATAAATTGTGATTAATCTAAGCTCACATGCTAATTCAGCAGAATATGTGGGGTTAGAGCTCAGGAATTCCACAATCCCAGGCTCATTCGAACAACATGCACGACCTCTCAAATGAATGGTATCAAATTATAACCTATCACATGCATTATTACAGTTGCAAAGGTAAACATTCAAATTAAAAAAATGCCATAATTAAGATTGCCTCCTCAACCTAAATTTGCACCTCCTTGTGCATATGCACTATCATAAAGTCTTTAATGACATAATCACATTATCTTTTCTACTCCAAATTGTCCCTGCCTTTTCCCTAGCCAAGGCCCATTCCCCTCACCTTGACGGTCTCAGTCTCCATTCCTCAATTTTCTTATCCCTGTCCCAGTCTCCCTGCCTAACACAGCCTCGTGTCACCCCCCTGGACTCTCCTTTCCTTGTGGCCCTCTCTCCCAATCCCCATCTCTTTGCCCAGGTTTCTCCAGTTCCCTGCCTACCCTTCTGCTCCTTGTCTCTTTCCCAACCAGCCCCACTTCTCTCGCTCTCTCTACTACTCTAAGCTGTCTGTCCTCTGCAGGACTCTTGCACCCTCTCCCTTTCCACATTCCCCATTCCCACCGGCTCTCCAACCCCATCTCTGTGTGGGCTCTTCAGCTAACCCCACTGCTTTCCCCTGGACCACAGTTCCCCTTCGAATAGATCTTTCCTCCTCCTTCACTACTTTCCTCCTTGCTTAGCCAGTCCGTCTCCAACCTTCGCACCGCAACTCCTACTCCCAGTCCCTTCTCCCCAGACTTCCAATCCAAATCCACTCTGTTCCTCACTTGCAGGTCTGTGACTTATCTCCTGTGTATTCAACTCAGTCAGTGTCCTCCACGGTGCCTGAGTCCAGCACAGTGCCACTTACAGTACAGGACACACCTGCCCCCTTTATTCGTTTCAGGTGACCTGACTCAAACCAATCATGGCCTGCAGCAATCCAAAGCTACCATTTCAGGAAAAATCCTGCTTAGTCCCAGGCTGAAGGATGCCCAGTATGATTGAACCTTCAGGAATTTAGTTGCTAAAATCCAAGAAGTCTCTACTGAGTATGTATACATTGTGAATTTTTTCCATAGAATTATAATTTAGCTGTATTTGGGCAGATTCCCACTCCTACACCCTTAATTTTCAGGTCTCTGCTTCAAAAATTGCAGGTGGTAAAGCTATTAAAAAAAAAGGACACCAAAGTTAACATAGGCAGAACAACATATTTTCTCTAATCTCATTCTCAAAAAATAGCTGGACTATTTTGGCTAAAAATTCCCCTCTCCTCTTGCTCCTCACATGGAAAATTTCAGCCAGCATGGTTACAGTTACACAAAGTTATAAGTAACTGAAAACAAGATCTTATAATTGGAAGTGAGACACAACCCCAACAGGTGCTGCTGCCAGCCCTCTCTATGATATTCTCAGATCCACAATGCACTATGACCTGTACAAACTTATGAAGAGACAAGAGCTTATCCAGTATTTCTCAGGATGGATGCGAATATAAGGACCCAGAGAGAGAAGCATGTACACTTGAAATGCTGCTAGGCAGATTAGATTGTAGAAGGTTTTAGAAATCAAGCTCTTCACAACAAAACCTATTAAAATGACCTTCCCCCGGAGGCTACTGTTCACTGTACACCCAGAAATTTAACTATGAATTTACTGACCTACATGTCAAACTGTCCACACAGAAAGCTCCTCTGAAGACTTAAAAATTGCTCTCCTTGGCTGACCATATTCAAAGGTTTCTATTGAAAGCTTGATTCCTCACTGTAACGCCAATATTTTAAGTTTCTGTAATATATCAGCTGAAGGTCTATCAGGTCTATAAATCTTTTCGATTTTTTTGAGGTATTTACAGCCCTGCTATTAAAAAATCACTACAGATTAAGGTGGATTTTTTTGAGGGATTTACAGCCCTATTAAAAAATCACTACAGATTAAGGTTGAGAAAGGGTTTGTCCCATACAGAGAAAAAAATGCAAATTTTCAGTTCAATCTATCCGGCCATTTTCTTGGTTAAAGGGAAGTAAATCTAATAAAAGGCAAAGCTCTTGTGGTTTGGGATGTTTTTCAACCATTCTATTGGATGAGATATATAGGGATTGCATTTTGTCATTTAGGATGAGATTTTATATATAACTGCACAGGGAAAAATTTAGAATAGAATTAATAATGTTTGACAGTTACTATTGTATATTTGCACAAACTTTAGTAATGGAAATGATCTAATTTTCAGTAAATCCTTATTTGAGCACCCACTGACATGAGATATGAAAGTAACTATACAATACAAACTGGCTGCTCCATTTACTTCCACACTATCAGCATTTAACACATTAATTTGTGAAGTGCTCATATGAAAAATGGAAATGGTGCCATAATTCATTTCGACAATGTATCTGGTCGAACCTATGAAGTTTAATGATTTTATATCCCACTTTTACATACTACATCACAATAGCACAAAAAAAAATCTGTTACATGTCACAATGTTTCAAAGGTATCTCAGACACTATAAATAGAACAAGTCAATTTACAGGAATCGAACCCTGTGCTTATGTGCTTCTGCTGAATAGGACCTATCATGAGATACCAAAAGGCAAGCTTTTGATAACTTACCACTAGTACACGATCATTAAAAATTTTCCAGAGTTAAACAACTTTTAAAGTGCTTATGCACAAATGCTAGAAGTCTAAATAATAAGACGGGAGAATTAGACTGCCTTGTATTAGAGGATATTGATATACTAGGCATCACAGAAACTTGGTGGAATGAGGACAGTCAATGGGACACGGTCATGCCAGGGTACAAAATATATCAGAAGCACAGACCAGGTCAAGCTGGTGGTGGAGTGGCTCTATAAGTGAAAGAAAATGTAGAATTAAATGAAGTAAAAATCTTAAATGAGCCAAAATGTTCCACAGAATCTAAGGGTAGTAATTCCATGCTCTCACAATAAGAATATAGCAGTAGGGATATATTATGACCACCTAACCAGGACTGTGATAGTGACTATGAAATGCTAAAGGAGATTAGAGAAGCTATCAAAATAAAACTCAATATAGTGGGGGGATTTCAGCTTTCCCCATATTGACTGGGTATACATCACCTCAGAACGGGATGCAGAGATACAATTTCTTGATAGCTTAAATGACTGCTTCTGGGAGCAGCTAGTTCTGGAACCCACAATGGGAGAGGCAATTCTTGATTTAATCATAAGTGTGCACAGCATCTGGTCCAAGAGTCAAATATAACTGGACCGCTTGGAAATAGTGACTATAATGTAATAAAATTTAACATCCCGGTGGTGGGAAAAACACCTCAGCAGCCCAATGCTGTGACATTTAATTTCAGAAAGGGGAACTATACCAAAATGAGTAGGTTCATTAAGCAGAAATTAAAAGGTACAGTGAGAAAAGTAAAGAACACAGTGGGAGGTGGGGGTGCCACCATGGATTAAAAACCAAGTGAAAGAAGCAGTGAGAGATAAAAAAGGCATAGTTTAAAAAGTGGAAGTTAAATCCTAGTGAGGAAAATAGAAAGGCACATGAACTCTGTCATATTAAATGTAAAAATATAATAAGAAAAGCCAAAAAGGAGTTTGAAGAACAGCTAGCCAAAAAATAGTAGCAAAATGTTTTTTAAGTACATCGGAAGCAGGAAGCCTGCTAAACACCCAGTGGGGCTCTTGGACGACTGAGATGCTAAAGGAGCACTTAAAGACGATAAGGTCATTGGGGATAAACTAAACAAAATCTTTGCTTCGGTCTTCACAGCTGAGGATGTGGGGGAGATTTCTAAATCTTTTTAGGTACCAAATCTGAGGAATTGTCCCAGATTGAGAGGTCATTAGAGGTGTTTTTGGAACACATTGATTGAAGTCACTGGGACCAGACGGTACTTACCCAAGAGTTCTGAAAGAACTCAAAATGTGAAATTGTGGAAATATTAACTGTGGTTTGTACCCTATCCTTTAAATCAGCTTCTGTACCTAATGACTGGAAGATAGCTA